AAATATTGAGTTGGAGGCTTTGCTTCTTTGAGACCAAGTTCATTTCCAAGCAATGCATCCGTATACTGTCTCCACATTCTCAGTGATCTAAGATGTGTAGCCTAATTCGTGATTAACCAATGGTGAATGCTAAATTTATCAGAGGACATTGGGATCTTACACATTGATTTTCGAAAAGACAAAAGATTGGTAACAATATTTATTTTTTTAAAACAACTATCTTATGCTTCTAAAACATTTCATAAAATACTGTATCATGCTAGCTCAAATGCTGTATTTCTTAATTTACTTTAGATTGCGAATGTGAATCCTAATGCGATAATCAATAATCATATATAGATCAAAATTGATCTTTCATATTTTATCTCTGTAATAATCTATATTTAAGAAGTATTAAACATATAGTATTAATCAGTTGTCTGCGACTTTAATGATGTTTTATCAAATATAACAACACCAAGATAAAGTAGAACATGACGCTGATTTTGAAGATGTTAACCATGCACATAATGAGAGAGAGAGAGAGAGAGAGAGAGAGAGAGAGTTTAACGTCCATTCGACACAAACTATGTCATTTCGGGACTAACATATGGTTCAATTTTATTTAAATAATTCGCTTGCGCGTACGGCTCTTTAGCAGCGGGAGATAACTGTGGGACCCGAGGAAAAGCCACGAGGTTGGACAGGCGACCCCACTCCTTGTCAAGTATAACCGGGGAATCGAAACCACGCCACTTGACTCAGTGACAGACGTTATGATACAGCGCGCACGTGCTAACCATTCTCCATCACCGCACCGCCCATGATTAGAATTACCTGCTTCAATAAATAATATATTATGAAATGATATAGTGATAGCCAGCTAAATCTCTTAATGGGCCTCACGTTTCGCACGTAAACTAGTAATTCAGGAGAGGCCTACCGAACCGAGACATGGCGCAGATGAAATCCATGGACTGATGAAATGAAGTCAACATCCTATTTGTCCTTTCGGATAAGGTACGGTCTATGACTACGGCCGCATTAAATACGTTAATCGTATAAAGAGTATGTTTATTTCATACATTATTAATAATTACAACCCCATTATAGAGTACACAAGGGGGACAGGTTTCGCTGAATAATCTTCATTTATGACATTATAACGATTTTCATATCCTAATTAAATACAAACAGTTGACTTCATATAGCTTATGACTTTCGAGGTCGTAATATAGCTAACAGTCGATTAATGGAAATTAATAATGTAAATCATTTAATAGACCGATCATGTAATTACATGGGCTTTTTTTACTTTCCGATTAAGAGCTTTATCAACAAGTACATGCGTGCAATATACTGTGTGACGCCAACACAGTCATCTGGGAATTGGCTGAGCCTTGGGCTGTTTTAAAGAGCGTTGCCCTAAGAACAATAAGAAAAACGACCAAAACAACAAGATTTAAATCTGTTCGTGGGCATCATTCTCGCAGTAAATGACAAAATGAAATTAACGAGTACTATTCTCGCAGTAAATGACAAAATGAGATTACTGGTGTCCGGAAGTATGTGTAATTGGTGGCGAAACATTTGATTATGACTTTTGATCAATCCCATTCCTGGGATCATTTCTGATAGCAGTTAGAATAACCGCCAAGTGACCAGCGATAATTTCAAATTTAAAAAAAAAATACTTCTTGATTTAATTTTACTCTTCGGTTGGATGACTCCCCCCACCCCCTTTCCTCCCGAAATCGTACGTTTCAGGATTGCAACTATAAATTAATCAATATATACCTTGTAATGAAGAATGGTTAAAATCCCTGACGGTCTCAATCTGTATTGCCAGGAAACTGGAAACACTATTCAGTTACCATATAGTGGTAGACCAGAATTAAACACAATTTAACACTAAATACTTCATATTTCTGTAATATGCACTATGTCTCTATCCGGTGTGTTAGGTGGTGATATACACACGGATTCCTATGTGGTAGACAAATACAAAAAACATATAATAAGGTTTTGCATAATTCTTACAATATATAATGTTTCAAAAATAAAGGCTGCAAAAAACAAAAAAACAAAACAAAAAACAAATGAAATTTCTACAATTTTGGAAATGAAAGCGCCAATTTCTGACAAATATTCTAATATTTTGAATATTTCTGATGCAACTTGTTTGAAACGCTTTATATCGTTTACAGAACTCAAATTTTTACAAATTAAGAAAGAATCATAAATGCTAAACCAAGGAACACTGTTTAAAAAGCAGCACATTGTCATGTTGAAAGGGTCGTCACTTTTGCAGCTTTTTTGTTTTATTATTTATTTTTTTTCGATTTTCTATCACAAGAATGTTGCTAGAACAAAAGTATTTGGATGGAGGCAGACCACCATTAAATTGTAGTTCGTCTGTTTATAGCAATTCTCTCTCTCTCTCTTTTCTCCCCTTTTGCATGCCCATTTTTGTTGATTTTTGGGTCTAGAATGGACGAAGAGGGTTTGAATAAACATTTTCTGCCAGGTTTTGGTAAATATTTATGATTTTGAGGCGGAAGGATAACAGGGTTATCAGGTTGGCTACGGCGATATGTACGGCAACTAGTTACATGTTTTTAGTATGCTTCTTCAAGTTTGTGTATCTCAAAATTTTGGTGGTCAACCTCATACAAATTTTAGTGCAAAGACATGACCATTTGTTCCTCTGTCTGTAGTGAAAAGCATTCAGCCCAACGAAAATTTGGGGAAAAGTTGGAGGTGGGCAAAGAGGCCAGAATTAACATTGAAGTCAATGGGGAAATTAATGGTGGTCTGTCTCCGGATAGGGTCTACCTGAAATGTAGTTGTCTCCCTTTATATATTTGACAATTTTAATCTTTCCCGGGACCGCCCATATTCCTCACGGTGAAGGTATTTCTCGGGCCATTGCTTCAGGAATATCGGGACATCCCTGATACAGATTCGGAGTTTGTGTTATTTCTCGATCCTATTAAAATTAGTACAACATATTGATGCGGGTCATAGAAGGAAATGAAATGAAATGGGGATTAACGCCCCACTTTTCTACACCGACTGAAATAATGAAGACGGGCATACGCCATAAAGTGTATTATCAGGAACAGTTTGCCCGGACAGCGGCGCTACGACCTACTCTTATTTCCAATTCCAACGGCCATGGATTCTTTTACGTACACGCCAGTGTGTACAACTGGACAGTGTACGTGTCAGGCCCTACGTCCTGCACTTACTGACAAGGCGAAACCTATAAATGAAGGGAATAGAAATTATGTGTACCATGTGAATGTCTATTTCATCACATTTTCAGTGTCCAAATGTTGTATGTTTAAACCAACTGTTATTATATATTGCATTATGGAATGCCAAATATTTGTCAATTAACCATATTATTAAGTGTTCAAAATAAAGCAAAAAGGAGCTTGAGGTAAATGGAACGTTTATGAAGTGACGTCTGAATCGGGGTGTGGGTCTATACGTTTATATGGAACTTCCGATCGTATCAATGTAAAAGTATGTTCAGATCGTATCAATATTAAAGTACGTTCAGATCGTAACAATAGTAAAGTATGCTCAGCCCGTATCGATATTAATGTATGCTCAGTGCGTATCAATATTAATGTATGTTCAGATCGTATCAATACTAAAGTATATTCAGATCGCATCAAAATGTCGTATCAATATTAAAGAATGCTCAGGCCGTATCAATATTAAAGTATGTTCAGATCATAATGATATAGTAAAGTATGTTCAGCTTGTATCGATGTTAATGTATGCTCAGTTCGTCTCAGTATTAATGTATCGATAGTAAAGTATGTTCAGATCGTATCGATAGTAAAGTATGTTCAGATCGTATCAGTATTAAAGTATGTTCAGATTGCACCAAAACGTCGTATCAGTATCAAAGTATGTTCAGATCGTTTCAATTTTAAAGTATGTTCAGGTAGTATCAAAAAGTCGTATCAATATTAAAGTACATTCAGATTGTATCAATATTAAAATATATTCAGATCGTATTAATATTAAAGAATGTTCAGATCGTATTAAATTAAGTTCCCATCGTATGGTTATTAAGGAATGTCGATATCGTATTAAATTAAGTTCCGATCGTACCGTTTAAACATTAAAGTATGTCCAGATCGTGGCAATATTAAAGTATGCTCATATCGTATCAAATTATGTTCAGATCGCATCAATATTAAATCATACCCAGATCGTATCACTATTGAATTATGTTCAGATCGTATCAATATTAAGTTATGCTCAGATTACATCAATATTAAATTATGTTCAGATCGTATCAATATTGAATTATATTCAGATATTTTTCATTCTTATGTCAGTAGGACACCGAAGTTTGCAAAACACAAGCTAAAAACGCGATTTTTAGTACAATCTAGAGGGTCCACAACCTTGATATACCATATATTTACACTATTTGCGTACATGGGGCGGTCATTTTGTCCGGCAGTTTTGGTCCGATTTTTACTAAATTCGAACTCGACCATCATAAGGGTGTTACGGCGATATATTCAAACGTTTTTTTTTAAATCAGATAAAAATTGTGACATCTGGAGGGACCACAAGCTAAAAACGCGATTTTTCGTTCAATCAAGGGCCATAATTCAGAAAGTGACTATCCGATATGCGCGAATATCTAAAGCAACCAAGATGATCGTTGGTTTAAAAACATGTATTTCAAGTTTCATCAAAATCAGATGAAAATTGTGACCTCTAGAGTGTCCACAAGCTTCGATCCGATACATGTGAATATCGAAAGGAACCGAGATCTTTTTGGAAATAAACCTATATTTCAAGTTTCGTCAAAATCGGATAAGAATTGTGACCAGTAGAGTGTCCACAAATAAATTGTGGACGGACGTGCAGACGGACAGGTGCAACGACAATATACGTCCCCATGAAAACGTGGGCGTGTAAAAACACGCAAGTATACAAAATATTCAACTGGCCACAACACCAGTTTCCATTTAACAGTAACAGTGTGAACAACTTTAAAAATATTTAATAATAGTAAATATCATACAATACATGTATATAAATAAAGTCAATATGTACAATGTTTGCTCCGTATAAAACAAATAACTATGTTTATGTTTTAAATATTGACTGTGATGTCGACAGGTCAGACGTTTGGTATTCATCAAAACGTTCAAATCCATAAAATACACAAAGACGACACCCCAGAAAACAGAACTGGATCAAGAAACAATTTCCTGTTACACAATATAAATGAGAAACTAGACACGAAACGCAAGCCATAATTCATGTGCGTTATGTGGTGCAATCAAAATATTATTGATGTAAATTGTGAATCTGAAATAATCCATTAAGAAATAAGCCGACGTCTGCAGATCCAAATACAGCTTCATGTTGACATTCACATTGTGGAAAATGATAGCAGACCATAACATGTTTCCGGTTGGCGACAACACATTCCATCGCAACAATTACATTCACTGATGACATAGACTTTTTCTTTCACAAAATTTCACATTTTAGATAAAACCAAGAGAAACACAGTGTCATATTAACTCCTTACTCCCTCGCCTCCTGGCTAAAGCAGCGAGATCACGTGAGGTTGTCATGGAGCCAGTCCGAGGCCGGAATTCTATTTCTTCCGAGTCCGAGTCCTCGTCATCTTCGTTTATAGCCGTTATACTAGAAGATGTTCTTAAAAATAAGTGTTCATATATTCTAGGTTGCGTGTTATCGTTCGCACTAGTACCATTAGATATACCATCTACACTGTCTTTATGAAGAGTTTTTATTGTATCTTGTATATTAAAAAACTGTCTTTTCAACAAAATATCATGTTGCCGTAACATTATCTGAAAAATAAAAAAAATATATGATGCACATACTTTATAAAGCTACATAGTTCCAGACTATTGTTCGAGTAACCAAAGGAAGTACCACATCAAAAATCGTGTGTCATTTATTTGTTATTCATGTCCTTGTGACTTAAACCTAGCATACAGACCTGGATGGTACTTTTAAATTGGTTAATTTAAACTGGATATCCTGGCGGTACATTGACTTTTTGTGGAATGTAATCACTATTCTATTCATAGAAGGAACAACGATGTTGAAAGTCTGGCCAGTGTACATAGCCACTAGTTGAAACCTTGTCAATTCAGTAGCCAGGTCATTGTCTAGCAACCTCTGAGTAATACTACTTTCTCCAGCTAGAATAAAGGGGAGTATTTTCAAAAAAATTGGTAATTTTGTCCTACGACTGCTAGAAGAACACACAAATAGTTTAATATAAATCTGTACAAAAACGAAAATCGGCTCATCACAACGTCGGTTTGGCATCTGATACGAAAATACTTAAAGAGACGTCAGCGCTTATAAGTTCTTCGCCAGTCGATGATGTTAAAATTCGATTACATGAGGGAATTCCTACAAACAAATATGCCAATCCATGGCGTTTTTACTTTCATTTAATTTCATGGATCGTACGGATCATTTTGTGAATTTTAATAGGTTTTATGAGCGCGTATATCTTATGAATAAACCTCCCAATAGATAGGCCAGCTCTTAGATGTTCGAAATGTGGTTTAAAGTCCTACTTTTCTGCACCGACTAGGCAAATGAAGACAGACATACGCCGTACATTATTCTATGCGAGATATTTTGCCCGGACAGCGGCAAAAATTAATTCCGTTCAGTTTCTTGATAAAAGTGATATGATAATGTGTTTTAATTTTCAACCTGTTACTCCCTTTATGATGCATTGTGAAGATTTAGATAAAGAGCTGGCGGTTTTTGCTAAAATAGTTTAACAATAGATAATGAAAAATGAATATATCGAAAATTTCAGTCAAATTTCTGAGCGAAATTTTGATAAGATATGGCCGATTGTCAGGTACCATTGTCAATTTAATAAACGAAGTCTGAATTGTCAGGCCTTTTGTTGAGCGACGTCCATTAACCGATTACATGCGTCGATCGTCTAATCCATTCAATATCTAAGCCATCCGAATTGATTATGTCATGTGAATACTCATGTCGAAATAATTTGAAGCCATGAAAATTTAATTTTAAAATAATAGTTTTACCAGTTCTTGTTTGACCCATTTCATGGCTTGCATCAAATCACTTATACGATCTGACATTGTGTTTCCATTGACCTGGGCGAAACTAATCTTACGATGACGAGGTATCTTGGCAGTATTGTTATTATCTTGAAATGCTGACTCATAACGTTTGGGTAATTTCACCTGGCCTGGTAAACTCCCATTCCTTAATGGAATAATACCATTATCCATTCCTATTTCATCCATAATAATCTGTTTCGGCATGAAGGTGTTTTCATATATTCTGAAATAAAAAAATATAACAATTATATAGAGTTATGCCAGAAATTTCGAAGTATTACATAGGAGTCGAAACACTTCTAATTAACTCGTTCCCCTTCTAGAAGACAAAATGAAATGAAATGAAATGGGGTTTAACGTCCTACTGTTCTGCTCCTATACTGGGCTAATGAAGACGGGCATACGCTATACAGTGTGCTATGAGGGAAATTTTGCCCGGGCAGCGGCACTATCGCCTACTCTTATATCGAATTCCAACTGCCAAGGGATCTTTTACGTGCATTCCAATGTATACACGGGACCCCGGTTTTTCGTCTCATCCGAAGGACTAGACAGCTGTCCTTGTCAGGCCCCCCGTTTTGTACCACTGACAAGGGGAAACCACGTCGGAAAATCCAGATGAACTTTCTCGGCCCTTCTAGAAGACACTTTAACTCCGTGTGCAAAATAGTACAATATCCATTCTTGTCTGGTCCCAAAATGACACAATATACGTTCAATCATCACAAAAAGGCTACAATTGTACAATATTTTCTTTTTTAACCAAACCTAGAAAATGTTTGTGGTTATGATCAAGAAATGGTAAGTATGGTTCTTATAGAAATACTCTCTACAAAACAGTCCAAATTCCAGCGTTTTTTGGTGACAAAAACACATAAAACAAGTACCACCAAATAATAATACAAGAACCAAAAATTATATTCCTCGGGGACAATATTGTACGTTGTCCAAAAACTAAAAGGCATCACTCAAGCTATAATATTTCGGGTTCTGATTACAATGTGTTCGAAACAGTGGCCATTCTGAAAACTATGTCATAATCAGAAACTGACTGGTAGGTATTATGTGTTTTATTCTATATAACATAATGACCCCTTCACCTTGAAATCTACAGGTATATCATCACACGAAAAAAGGTGATAATTGTTAGTCGTATCTTTAAAGAAATTTACATAATTTGACCACGGGCTATACATTACATGAAGACAAAATAACAACATGATATCAAAATATAAAGAAAGATAAGTTGGGAACCTAAGCCAACGACAAAAGCTAATAAACTGCCGAATTTCCCGGACATAAGACAAAGGTAGGCTTGACCAAATAGACAAAGAATTGTTTGGTTCATTTTCCTGAAACCACATTTAGTGATGGATGACTTGACAAAATATCCTACTGCGGAATAAAATGATATCTTACACAATCTTGTATGATATGTTAATGAGTACAACTAAATCTATGTTGATCTCGGTATCGCATTAATCTACAATAAGTTAAATCTTTCTCTTATCTTAATACTAAGAGGAGAGAGAGAGAAAAAAAGAGTGAGAGAGAGGAGAGGAGAGAGAGAGAGAGAGAGGGGGGGGGGGGCATATGGTTCAATTTTATTTCAACAATTCGCTTGGACTCGAGTATTTCATTTCGGGACTAACATAATATGGTTCAATTTTATTTCAATAATGTGCTTGGGCTCAGGGGGGAATATATGGAGAACAATTACTCCAGTAATTAGCAGTAATTAATGTCCTCCATGTCCTGTGTATATCCAGTACATTTCCTAATGCGATCCCTAACAGAAAATTAAAAATATAGGCCTTTAAGGAGCTAAATCGCTAATATTTGGGACCTAGAAATTGACACAAATGGATCGCAACACATATAATAATGTAATATGAATACAATATACAGACTGATTTACATACATTCAATCGTTTCTGTTTTTACTCTAATTTCAAATCACAACATCAATTTTGATTTCAATTGACAAATAATTTGTGTTTTCAATGTCGAAGACTTTGGATGATATTGAGTTAGAGACTTAGCTACGTGGTTTCGTGTAGTAATGCCGACACGGGGTTTAGACATAGGCATGTTATCATATATCATGTAAACGAAAATTCAATGTCATATAACAAGTTTATGTAATCACTTCTTGTCAAAAGACAAAAAATATGACAAAAAATCGGACACGTCTGTCATATAAAACTTAAAGAATATCGAAACCGAACAGGACGTTAATAGCCTGTACCATGTTCAAGGTTGGTAAAGCGTACTACATGCAGGTAGCACAAATGGGACATTTGAAGTGAAATGCTAACGGTGAATTTAGCAGAGAGGTATTTTCGCCATGTCTGTGTATTAGAGGAAATCACTGGCATACCTGGTAAAGAAGTGAGATAGGGTGAGATGCAGATAACCAAGAAAGTCGCTGGTCCGAATCAAAATATTTTAGCCCTTCATGCCAGCTTTAACAAACTTTATTGTGGACTTAGTTGAACTAAATCGTGTTCTGTACTTAAACAAGTATACACTAAGCATACATCGTTTATAACTATTCTTTCTTAAATAATCACTGATCTAGTAACATAATGATAAGTCTACTGTAGTAAGTATTTCCCTACATTGTCCTGCTAAATAATCTGTTTACTAAAGGCGATTTCTCATGTATTTAACATGCTATTAAGTCGTTTCAAGCGGCTACTTTTACCGAATAAGCAATAATTACGATTACGGTTTTAGCCTATCATAGTTGCCCATGGTGCGATCAATTCAATATGTGCTCAGTAATGGATAAAGCACGAGTCAGGGGTTATGCTGGGGAAAAAAAGACTCGAAGAAAGAACTCGAGATGTTTTCTTTCTGGGGTCTTTCTGACCCAGCATAACCGAAGATGAGTGCTTTATCTAACTTAAAAACACCCGAAATTGAATTTTCAGATAGCAAGTTATTCCGGGCATAGAAAAACCTGGAAAGACCAAAGAGATATTTTCCCCCGGTATTCGTATTCGTGTTTTACTGTTAGTAAGTAAAACCCAAATAAAGAGGAAAACATGTCACATACTATTACGTTCTCAGAGATCCAGATGGTAGTTTTTGCAACCAATTCTACCAGATAAGAAAACTGATCCGTTTCAAAGCAAGTTAAAGAAGAAAGATTTATATACCAACTATTGGATGACAGTTAATAACATTGTTAGGCAATTACAACTTATCTTCGATGGAAGGTCAATGATTAAAAACCGACACAATGTGATTACTTGGATAAATGTTTGGAGACAAGCGTAGAGCACATCATATAATTAAAAAAGAATAAGCCTATTTTTAATTACATTATTTCAAAGTTATTTTACAATCCAATACAACATTTCCTCAAATACAAAATCCAGTCGTTTAACAAAACCAATTCTATCAAACAAAACATACTTACTTTGTTTTAACCGCATATAACACACGACCCTGCACAGTGAACAAAGTCTAGTCCAATCAGTCAAGTCAAAGTAAACGGATATTAGGTCCCTCTTAATAAAAATTGCACTGGATCGATGTGGGTCATTAGCCCAATCAAACTGACTGTTAAATAGAGTATTGTTTAGGTAGGTATATCGAGATATTGATAATAATTATGTCCAAAGGTTAGAAACGACATTTCGAGTGTCGCCAACATCATAAAATATAGATGAAAAATGAGCTGCGTCAATAATAAAAGCTCATAACCCGGGGCTTTTCTTTTTATTAAAAAGTAGAGGGTATTTTTATAGGCTTGAAGGTGCACAGAACAAAAACTTTTATTAAAAATGACTATAATAATAATAATAAACTATTTGGTTTTTTTGACAAGCCTTGTAATAACATAAATTGGAGGAAAACAGCAGTTGAGATCAAACGCACCAGATAACCGAAAATGGAAACAATAAATTACTTTCCGTAAACGATAATTGATAAATGACATTCTTATATTTTTGGACATTTAATTAAAGGGGCTAAACGCTAATACTTGGGACCTAGAAATTGACAAAAATGGGTCGCAACGCATAAAATGTAATATGAATGTATATAAACTGATTTACATTCAATCGCTTGTGTTTTTACTTTAATTTCAAATCAGCTATGTTTGGCGAAATATGTCAGAAGTCTCAATCTAATGGCAATCTTTAGCGTCTAATTATTCCAGTCTACACCGATAGTATTTCTTTGCGCATGCTTTCCAGATAAGAATGTGACGTCACCGTTTGACATGACTTGTGGACTATGTCTAGCCTCGTTCTTCGAGTCCCTTGTTACAAATCGAGCTGAAGCGCATTATGGTACACGATTCGTGTACCAATGATAAAATGTTTATTTTGCCTCAAATATTGGATATCAAAAAGCCCATCTTTTCCCGGTAAGATCACAACATCAATGTTGATTTAAATTGACAAATAATTTGTGATTTCAATGTCGAAAACTTTGGATGATATTGAGTTAGAGACTTAGCTACTTTAAGCATTGCGTTAGTCGCAATTTAATCATTTCTTACTGACCTTCCTTCATTATGCATCTCTACTAAATCATTTTGAGTGCAGCGTGTCAACAATTTTAAGAAATCCGAATCTTCATACCAAAGATTTTATGATTTTATAATTTTTTGTTTCTATCAGACCTGTCAATGGAAACACATCGATAATCCGACTGGGATAATGAAGACATGTATACGCCATAGTGTGCTATGAGGGAAGTTTTGTACTGGCAGCGGCACTATGGCCTACTGTTATATCGAATTTCAACAGCAAGGGATGTTTTACGTGCATCCCAATGTTTACAAGGACCTTGTTTTTTCGTCCAACCCCTAGACTGACAAGGGGAAACCACGTCGGAAAATGCGGGGATCGAAGTGTACACAAGGACATAAGATGGCACTACCGCCCAGTTTATCATTATATTTGAGAAAGTGTTTAAAACTGAAATTGGTTATGCCGCTATGGTCAGTGATAATTTGCATATCTTACCAACGTAAATGGGAATATTTTGTGGTTATAAATTGATTATACAGAATCTGAAGGAAGTTGGTTGTAACTTAAGATCAGTATGACAATAGTTATGAACGATAAGAACATGCCGATGATATTAATCCTTATAGCCACAAACATGTCACAATTACCTCATACAAAATTAGAAAGAGATTTTTAGCATATCGATTTTTCTTACACGAGTTCAAATACACTTACAGGATGTCAAGTTATTTTT